CCTTTCGGTCATGTTGATTACTCTGTCTGCGTACAACAAAGATTCCTTCATACTTTTGACTGTGAACACTGGTATCTCTCTAAATTCAATGGTGGTATGTACATGACTACCAGAAAAGAAACTAGGTACTACCAGTTGACGTAGGGAATTCAATTACTTCTATACATCATTATGGCAGCTATTCATATATTACTGGCCTGAGATGCTACTCCTATTTATATAAACGAATAAATATAACATGAGAATAAATCTTCCACTTAATTCCGTATATTATGCTTAGGTTAATCTTGTTTCTACGAGGGTGGCAATAAAAAGCGGAATGCGGAACCGTTAGAGTGCTATTAGTTTTACACCTCGTGAGTCTGTCATTTACATGAAATCGATCGATGCACGTTGGTAGTTGTTGACCTCCATGAGGTTAAACAGACTGCTTGACATTTACTGACTGGATCATTTGATTCGGATCCAGGGACATTTCGCCGGCCCCACGCTAACTTGGATAGCTTCAGATTGATCAAATCTTAAATATGTAGTCAATAACTTATTCACGAGGATGCGACTGATCACTCAGCTTTCTACAATTATTGCTTTGTTTATAATATCAGCGTGCGAAGTGTAGTAAAGTGTAAAAATATCAATGCTTTTAAAGTAGTTGCATTAACTTCCAAACTTTTGGATGACACAAGGGCAACAAATTGACGTTGGTTTTCTTTATTGCACCTGAGTGTTGATAATCGAAAAACTTGAAAATTTCTACCTTCACCCACTTTCCTCTCCGGATTTTATACCGGCACCTGACATGTTTGCATACTGTGATGACAAATTCAACTACCACGGGATCAAGCTCCCGATGCCTGGAACAATTTGGATCTCATTTCGAAATAAAGTAGCCGAATGTGGAAATTTTGTCTATAACTACTAAAATCTTTCTCTAATGAATTAGTTATAGTTAAACCAAACTTGTATACTTTTCTGATCTTTCCTAAAATATCCCCAGGAAACATGTACTCCACTATATCTCTCAGACTGTAACCTTTTCGTACACACACGGTACTCACATGCCTCTTGCCTGGTGTGCTTTTCATTTCCATTAGACTTACTGTCACCATCAAAACGTCGGCACATTACCGACGCATCAACATCACGACCCCCAAAGTGGTCTTCAGAAAATTGCGCATCAAGGAGAAACACTCAGGTTTGTGCACAATTTTTCCCATTGAGAGTCGTTGCTACGTGGAATGGCCTGCCAGCTGAGGTGAACACAGCTTCCTCAGTGGACAGATTTAAAAAGGCACTTGATAAACACCTACTCATATACGGATTATTATATCCCTCGTGGACCAGCTGTGTCTGGTGCATATTTTCAGACCTGCTAGATGTTGTTATTTTCATCTCCTGAGATTGCTAATTTGATCTATCTCGCTTGTTATCTGTGTTTACTTTTCCTTGCCTACACTTCAGTCCTTTTGCACAATCTTCACTATCAATTGATAAACTAAATTATCCATTTATTTACTTAGTCCTGAAATCTTATTCTTATTAGCATTAAAATTTCCTCCTTACTCTTCTCCACATTATAACTAATATGACGGCTGCTGGTATCCAGAGACCTTACTGCCCTGAGACAAACGTAATCATTCAAATCACGCAACTTACAATCTCACAAACCACTGCCAACTCACTAGAATTAGGCAGTCGAATGGCTAGACGCCCATCCATTGGACACTAACAAACACCTTGAACCGTACCGTAAGAACAAGAATCGAGCACAAAGAAATCAATTGGTTTGTACTAGCTCGTGAAAAAGATATTGGGTATTGGACATGTACAAATTTTTAGATGTGCGCTTAGCGCGAATTCTGAAGGTGATTATGATTTTCCACGTGGTATGGGTACTTGTTAGATCGTTCATTTTTAGACTTACATTCTCAAATACGATATAAAAGATAATGACATAAAATTGATCTATATAAATAACAAATTTGATTGAAAATTCACAGGAACAATCTAGCATGAAATCAATAATGCAGATAAGCGTTGTAAGCGTAGGAAGTTATGACCGAATATTGAGAAATGTAGTTGATTTCGTTTTAGAGTCAGGTTTACCAAAATAAATCCCACTCTCATCAGGAATGTACTGCCTGAACTCATATCGGTTACTGATCTAGGAGTGTACTACTCTCACAGCCTGAATTACTGTAAACACTTTTCAACAAAGTATCCCAACTGAAAAAAATGGTATGCTCAATATTTCGTACCTTCCTTCATAGATAATGCGAAAAATTTCCGTGCGAAACATGCGTAATTCCTATTGCTGATTAATGGTCATTTGTATATTCAATCTTACTTCTCTACTATATACTGAATTTTGAAAGAATACGAACGAAATTTATTATTAAAATTCTTACCCATTGACTATCTCACCCGATGTCATCAACTTAGACTTGAAATATTGTTAAAAGAAGGTTTAAGTCTAATCTTATGCTTTACTTCAAGCTGCGGACCAACCTTGCAAACAGCTCTTGTAGTATAGTCCTTATCCCCCAAGATGAAATATTTACTGTCAAACTTGGGGAGTGTGAATCTAACTAAAACTCGAGAAAACGTCTTCCTCATTAGGTATGCACTGATATGAAACAGCCTTCTGTCGAAACTACTCAAGACAGGTGGAACACATGCATTTGTAAAGCTTCTTAATAAAGTCCTTGGTTGGAATGATTCCTGCACACGTTAACTCACTCGCAACCTGCTTCCATATTATTACCTCTCTACATGGTTATACTTTATTGAATGCAGGTTTGAATTTTATTTTTTAACTTTTCCCGATGCAGTTGTAGCTGTATTAAATTCTTCTGGTTGGCTACAGATCTCCTTAATTCTTATTTGAAATAGATTAATCACTGAGTTGATCGATATTGTTCAGCTGTAGCCGGTTGATAAGAACACACTCTATTACCCTCAAGAGTCGTCAGTGAAACATCATCATTTGCTGCTTAACTGTTAGTGATCAAGCATCCACAGCCTCGAAAGCATACAGTCGGTTTGGATTGAACAAAACTTGATCAACACCGACAATTTTTCTAGTTTCTTGTTTCCTATCACCAGTTTCACTATTTTCACGTGCACTATACTGACTTACATTTGCCTACTCCTCATTGTCTATTGCCACATTAATAAAAATAATACTCCAACACTATTCCGCTTACTTTACCAAACATCTTTCCATCACTACATCCTCAATACTTATAGTTTGTTTGAAAACCTGTACTGTTCCACATAACAGTTAATTGTATTGCTAGACAAATTTGTATAAAAGGACCTACGGGAGTAGTGCTTCCCAACAAAATGTGAAATATAGGGCCATGAGTATAACATAATATATTATCTTACAGTCATTTGAAATGAGCCTAGGGATACAAAATGAGGGAGGGTGTGGTTAATAACGAGCAAATGTTGGTGCTGAGGGCGGTGATATTTCACAAACTGTACTATTCTTCCTGAACTTCCAACTTCAATGCACAAACATCCAGCTTCTCACTTCAACTTCTCTTCTATGCACCTTGATACACATCAAAACCTATTATTCATTATTGCTGTAATGGTAAGTTAGGCTATATTACTAAAATTTATTTGAATTTTAGTGGTTTGTATGAATTTTGTTTTCTTACTTACCATTACCTCTTCTACTCCGTCATATACGGTTAAGCAATGACGGCCTTGTTGCTCTTTCTTTTGATCTATCCTTTCCGTCCTGCGAACCCTATAGGTAGTAGCACAACCATGACACCGCTACGCGAAATTCACTTTACGTGCGTGCTCTTCAGGGTTATGGCTTATGCCAAGCGCCTTCCAATCGACACTTCTACACGAACTTACTTCTGAATTATGCACAGCACCTAAGAAGTCTGCTGTGAACCTACCCTAATTGTAATCGCTTGTTGAAAATATGGCTGCACTAATTTGTTTCTGTCGGTGACATTGCGTAAACTTACTGGCAGAAAGAGACTTATTAATAATTTAACTGAGCAACCTTTTACAGAAAATTTGATAGCTTTTGTAACACTTTGATCTTGCCTGTAAAACAGTATATCTTATCTAACACACTCTTATTTGAGAATAGTTACCAATATTATTATAGCGACAGACTGAAAGCGATTGTGCCAATGCATAACTGAACACATAATCAACAAAATCTCTTCTACACTCAAGTTCACTGATCTTGGCATTAGCCCAGTTAATAATCAACAAACTATACCCTTATATATTCACTTTGATTGAACGACTACTATTCCCACTCAGTTCTCAGTTATGATCTATGAGTGAAGTAAGAGAGAAATATTGTCAACCCCTAAACCAACAAGAAGGTCGAAATAAGTAAAATCTATACTTGGCGAAGCTGTACCTGGAAGTCATATCTTCATCGTATGAGCTGTGAAATTCTAGTCCTTAAATATAGCTGTCACTAAATTATACACTGAATGATAACCTTTCCATCTCACTTGGTACGCCGACGGTTATACCGTTAGATATAAGAAGTACTATACCAATATATACAGAAATTTCGACACGGCATAAGTATCAATATAAACGTTTATGAACAAAATTTAAAATTTCACGGGTAAAGGGGTCGAAAGACTGAACCAATAATATTATTTACAATGACAGCGATACTGGACAACTACAAGACTCACTTGCTGAAATCAACGATGAACTAAGTCGGTCAACACCCCTCCCAAGCACATTTTGGCCTTAAATAATGATAAAAACCTCAAAGAACACAAGAAATCTGAATGAAACTAGGTTTTTTAGCTAAAAAATAACGAAGTGAGAGAATTCGTTTTACAACGCCGTTGCATGTAATCTGACCAACTGCACATTCCCACTAAGCCAAGGAAAAACCTCCTCCAATCATGCTATATGCTAAACGTCGGTTGCCAAATCATCTACCTGTAGTATTTAGAAGTATATGTATCAAGAATTAAAGATATGCACAAACGAATGTATTGTATTTCGAATTCGAAATCAAGCATTTCACAACAACAAGAAGTTACTAGTTCATTCAAACACCACATCCGCCACCGCTTAAATTGGAATGTATATGTCTGTAATCAGTTGTATGTCTTCTTCTCAAATTCATCCTGTGTCTGTCCGACAGTGTATTGGATAAAGACTCTGTATTATCTAGAATGCTCTCATTAGTATTAGAATTAACAACCGAAATTGGAACAGACTCACCTGGCTCTTGGAATTGTATTTGATCAACATGTCGATTGTGTGTACTTAAGTCATTGATATCTAGAAGTCGCACCATAGATTTCTCGACATTCTTCTGAACGATCCCCGTGGATGGTCGAAGATAATTGCCACGATAATATGTAACTTCTGCAGACTCCAAACATCTCATATTCGACCGAAGAATTCTTCCTTTTAATAGTTTTGATGGAGTCTCTTTCGTCACCGAATGTCTGGCATTTCTATATTGCAGTAGAAAGGTATCTACTCCCCTCTCCAGCTCATTAAATGTTGTGGCGACAATAGAATCACTCAACCTCGAATGCTGATTTTTCAGCTTATGACACTTTACACAATTGTTTGCTGTACGACAAATATCTGCATTTATCTCTGGCCACCAACACGTGAGCCTCGCCAAGGACTTCATTTTCTCAACACCTAAATGTCCACTATGAAGATCTTCCAGGACAGCTTTACGCAATGAGGGAGGAATAACAACCCGATCATTTAAACACAAAATACCATCAGGAGTAGTGGATAGCTCATCTCGCTTTGAAAAATAGATAGGGAACCTGCGTTTCAGATTAGCATTCCAACCTTTCCGTATAGCATGAATTATACATCCAAAGTTTCTACGAGTTTCTCTAATGAGATCTGGACGTTTCACTGGTAAAGGTTGCACCAACAAACAGTCTGAAGTATTAACAGGTTTATCTTGTAATGACTGTCGAGAAATGTAGTTAACATGTTGAATTTGTTTGGCACTCCTGTGCTGAACCGTTTTCATACTTCCATTGCACTTAGCACACGTGGCTATCGAATCTTCAGGTAAAGCATCAGAATTTTCTTTAGAAAATAGGAAAGACAACTCCACTTTAAGTCTTTTCAAATTCTTTAAACCCAGTATTGACATTCCTGTTTCACTAACTAAAAATTCACAAGATATGTATGAGGAATTATCATCTCTTATTAGCAATTCACAACATCCTCGTATAGGCAGTCTGTGTCCAGTAATCCCCATTATTGATACTTCAGTGGGTCGAACCACAACGTTCGGATCTAACGATTTCAAGTTCTTGAATGAAATAATGGACTCTATACTGCCTGTGTCCACAATAAAGTCATGACATGAACCAAGCGATGTATATAGTCGCTTTTGAATATGAGCATTACCTTTCGAAATGGTAGTTAAAGATAAATGATCATTAGGATCAACTGAATTATTGGAATGTAAATTACAAGCTTTAGTACTACTTGAGGCAAAATGAACAGTAGCTTTGCATACTGCTTGAATGTGTCCTATCTTACCACATCTAAAACATTTAGCATTACGAAATGGACAATAATAACGAGAATGAAGTTTTCCACATGATAAACATTTGCCAAACTTGGTCTCACCTTTTTGATTTCCTTTGTAATTCTTTTTTGAGACACCGTTCATTTTTACACGAGAATAGGAACCTCTGTTAAACGAACACAATTTTGATTGACCCTGAGATTGCTTTTCATCATGACAACTAATCGAAGTATTGGAAATCTTCATCGACTGAATATCAAGTTCATTCAACGCCTCGTAGTTAATGCACGCAGTTCTAACATCTTGAATGGAACAGTTTGACATTCTTAACAGCTCTCTTTCCAAACTAGGTATGTTAATTCCTGCAATTAATCGGTCTCTCAGCTGCACATGAAGTTGATCACCGAAATTACATTTGACAGCCTGTTTCTGCAATTCAAGAATGAATTCCTTAACATTTTGGTCATTTTGACGAATCATCTTATGAAATTTCGCTCTTTCACGGCACTCAAAACCAGGGCACTTTACATGATTCAATAATAACTCCTTTAGCATTGCATAGGGAAGTGAAATAGGTTTTTCTGGATATGCCAAAGTTTTTAATAAGCTGTACGCTTCTTTTCCGATGAATGTTAGGAAATGAGCCACAATTTTATCATCTTTGACATCTTTCCTGGTCATACTCCAGATTTCAAACCTTTCCAAATAATCTTCAAAAGCTTCAGAAGTAGAATGAATATCTAGCTGTTCCATTACAGATCCTGCTCGCGACGCCACTGTGATGCTTAGAAGTATATGAATCAAGAATTAAATATCTGCACAAACGAATGTATTGTATTTAGAATTCGAAATCAAGCATTTCACAACAACAAGAAGTTACTAGTTCATTCAAACACCACACTACCGCACAAAGATATTAAGTGAATCAACCCGCCTCCTTTTTTTCACATTTAGCTACTGTAGCAACGCTAAAAAGCTTATTTGTTCGACAAAAGATGATAGATCATTTGTCACTTATGGGAACACAAAGGCTACCCCTTATCTAACAACTCGCCAACATAGTATAAAAAGACGAGGAGAAACAAGATCGCATGGTTGTGCTAAAGCGAATAACCAGCTAAAGACAACATCAAACGCTTAAATGATATTAAACACATCGATCACTAACAAGGTACAAATATGCACATTGCAAATCGCCCTGTAGATCTATAGATTCATCAACCCGAAGTAAAATATGAACTCCAGCTGACACTCAGTATTATAACGACATCTATACTTCTAATCATGGCTGGTGAAACAGTAAATTACTTGAATACGAGCCACACGACATTATAGAACCAGATGAATTTAATCTATGCAACATCAGCTCCTCCCAATATGTCATACGAGATGACCCGATCAAAGTTGAATTCATCTGACGGAACACATGCGAGACATAAAGACACTCCCCAGCCATAGCAAGTATGAGAGTACTAACTAAATCTCCTATCCTGACTCATTATTATATGGACTCCAACAAAACCTAAAGTGCAACGACTCCATCTATTCATCAAGGTCAATAACTATAGGACCGGTTTGGGACACTGCATGCAGTCGATATATATTAAACAGTAACAATTGGCACGCCACAACTAATTGAAAATGTGTTTAGAGTAGTTCAGGCTGTGCGATTAATGCACTCCTCGATCAGTAAACGATTTGAGTTCAGGCAGTACATTCCTGTTGAGAGTGGGATTTGTTTTTGCATTCCTGAATCCAAAACAAAGCCAGCTACATTTCTCAATATTCGGTCATAACTTCCTACGCTTACAACATTTATCTATATTAATGATTTCATGCTAGATTATTCCTGTGAATTTTCAATCAAATTTGTTATTTATATAGATCAATTTTATGTCATTATCTTTTATATCGTATTTGAGAATGTAAGTCTAAAAATGAACGATTTAACAAGTACCCATACCACGTGGAAAATCATAATCACCTTCAGAATTCGCGCTAAGCGCACATCTAAAATTTGTACATGTCCAATACCCAATATCTTTTTCACGAGCTGGTACAAACCAATTGATTTCTTTGTGCTCGATTCTTGTTCTTACGGTACGGTTCAAGGTGTTTGTTAGTGTCCAATGGATGGGCGTCTAGCCATTCGACTGCCTAATTCTAGTGAGTTGGCAGTGGTTTGTGAGATTGTAAGTTGCGTGATTTGAATGATTACGTTTGTCTCAGGGCAGTAAGGTTTCTGGATACCAGCCGCTATCATATTAGCAGGCCAGAGATAAGTTCGTTATAATGTCTAGAGGGGTAGGGAGAAAATTTTAATGCTAATAAGAATAAGATTTCAGGACTAAGTAAATAAATGGATAATTTAGTTTATCAATTGATAGTGAAGATTGTGAGAAATGACTGAAGTGCAGGCAAGGAAAAGTAAACACAGATAATAAGCGAGATAGATCAAATTAGCAATCTCAGGAGATGACAATAATAACATCTAGCAGGTCTGAAAATATGCACCAGACACAGTCGGTCCACGAGGGATATATTAATCCGTATATGAGTAGGTTTTTATCAAGTCCCATTCCAAGTAGCAACGACTGCTAATGAGAAAAAGTGTGTACGAACCTGGGTGTTTGTTCCTTGATGCGCAATTTTCTGAGGACCACTTCGAGGAGCGTGATGGTGATACGTCAGGAATGTGCTGACTTTGGGATCGTGACAGTAAGTCTAATGGAAATGAAAATCACACCAAGTAAAAGGCATGTGAGTACCGTGTGTGTACGAATAGGTTACAGTCTGAGAGATATAGTAGAGTATACGTTTTCTGTGGGATATGTTAGGAAAGATCAGAAGAGTCAACATGTTTGGCAACTACTTTAAAATCATTGATATTTGTACACTCGACTACATTTCGCACCTTAATGTTATAGACGAATCAATAATTGTGATCAGTTGCATCCTCGTGAACAAGTTATTGACTACAAATTTAAGATTTGATCAATCTGAAGCTACCCAGGTTAGTGTAGGTCCGGCGAAATGCTCCTGGATACTAGTCAAATCAACAAGTCAATAAATGTCAAGCAGTCTGTTAAACCTCGTTGAGGTCAAGAAATATCAAGGCGCATCGATCGATTTCATGTAAATGACAGGCTCACGAGCCGTAAAACTAATAGCACTCTAATGGTCACGTATTCCACTTTTTACTACCACCCTCCTAGAAACAAGAATAACCTATAGGATAATATATGGAATGAGACGGAGGATTTATTCTCATGTTATATTTATTCGTTTATATAAACAGGAGTAGCATTTCAGGCCGCCAATAATTGAATATCTGTCATAATGATGTATAGAAGTAATTGAATTCCCTACGTCAACTGGTAATACCAAGTTACTTTTCTGGTAGTCATGTATATACCACCGTTGAAGTAAGCGAGTGGCAGTATTCACTGTCGAAAGTATGAAGGAATCTCAGTTGTACGCAGACAGTAAAATCAACATGACCCAAGAGAACTGCTATGTTTTTTAAATTAGTCGCACGTCTTTTAGAAATTCGATTCTTCGGCGCTACTCAAAATCCTTCGAAATAAATGTAAACGCTCTGAAGCGAAAGGCGGGAGCCTATTTCTTAAGGACAACAAAGTGTACAGAGGCCCTAATCGAGACACAGAGCTATTTAGCGAATAGAATTGTGCCTCCATAGAGAACGAAAACCTACGAAATGAATCGAAGATGACCACAAGACCTTCTATTTTATCTGGACCATCAATGGACTTTGCTCTCTGAGTCAAAAAGCCTGATGAAAAAGTGAGATATTTTAAACTTCTGGACACAGTATAGTCTGTTCTGAGCTTTGATAAAAGCTAAATGAGTATGGGAAAGCTTCCTTAATTGCTAGGTTTAGATTTGTTTAACGTTTTTACCTGTATTTTATACTACTTGCTAATATTCAGTAGGCAGTTTTATTCGTAACAATTTCCAAGAGTATGATACTATGTACATTTATTTGTTGTATGATATCCTAACGTATTCACATAATTTTACAACACCCATTATGCTTATCACTTTGGTTCTTTTCTCGCAACATTGACGCCAGTTATTCCTACCTTTCTGCATCTCTTGGATCATTGTTTAAATTTGTCATTTTCCAC